CGGCTCGTGTCCTTGAGCTGCCTCTTGTCCCTCGTCAACAGCCTGGCGTCGGCCACCATAGCTGACAAAGACGGCAGCACAAAGGCCAGCGACGGGGAGACGGCGGGCCCGCTGCAGCTGCACTCGTTCAGCCTCGGCGAGCTCTGCGGCCCTGCAGCAGCGCTTTTTTTATGACGTTTCTATTTTATACAATAGCTAAATTAGAAAATTTAGAAACTATTTTTAGTTATTCTCTCGGAGTTGCTCTTAGGGAGCCATTAATCTATTTCGGTGTATCATCCTGGTCAAAAAATGCCATTCACCCCATCCGGTTACTGATCTGGCACTTCAGGTTAGTTCTAGCCGGAAAATTGGCACCTGTTGTTAGGTGGGGATTTTGCAAATTGCTCTTGTACTCTTGCTAAGATGAATAACCCTCTTACCTCATATCCTCTCTCACATGTTGCTTCTACCTTTTCTATTCCTCCTCCATCCCCTGTTTGTCAGTAGCACGCAAACCCTAGCCCTCAAATCGAGAGCCCGATCTCATTCATCATGGCCCAAATCAGCATCCTGCTTAGTCCAAACCTTGCGACCTACATTCGTGGAGTGGGCCGGGGGTAAATGGCATGGTATTTGAGTTCATCATCATTGTTTAGGCACAGGCCGAACAGGAAGCTACCATTGATTGTCTGCCCAGATTGCAATCGCAAGAAAAGTGTTAAGGTCGAAGCAACCATGGTCGGTTGGAAAAATCTTCTACACGTGCCCCAATCATCAGGTAAGTTTAGTTCGACAAATCTTCTCGAGATAAGCTCTCTTACCGTGTTGTGTTCTTATTTTGATGCAATGTGACAATGTAGCAAGATCGAACTGAGTGTCCATTTTCGCAACGGGAGGAAAGCTGAGGTAAAGGACGAAGTCGCTAAGAATGGATATTTTGGCACTAGCTAGGATGATGGAGGAGGAACATGGAGGCGGAGAACTCTTTGTTTTGATAGGCAAACTAAGAACTTTCGGGCAAACTCACTGTTTACAAACTAGACATCTCTGAAAACAGCGTAGCTAGACAAGTTTCGTCTTCATGTTTCATCCCATAAAATGTTTATTACATCTCTCTTCTCAATACTATACCACATCAGATTATCTATGATAGTTTCTATAGTCATTAATTACACTGCCACGTAGACAATTTGTTGACGTGGCAGATCATTTATCGAAGAGAGAGTGGAAAAAAAATGAAGAAACAACGTGTAGAAACGACGTCTACGCACGAAGACGGAAGAGGCGAGTCTCGTCCGCGTTGGGAGGGCGCCATGGTTTCTTCCCGACATCTCCAGATCTCGTGTGCCAAATCTCCCCAGCGCTCTCCTATCCCCGCCCCGACTCGTCGTGTCCGTCCCGACTCGCGCGGCCATCCGACATCGCCACCTGCGGAGCTCGCGGCCGCCCGACGGACGTTGTCATCGGCACGCAGGACGACGGCGACATACTTGATGAGCGGGACCTTGTACACGTACGTGCCCTCCCCGCCAGCCGCAACGCCGCGCCGCTGAGAACCATCCTCGCCGCGCCGCCGCACGGACGTGGCCTTCCCGCCGGCCGCAACGCTGCGCTACCGCGGGACCCGCAGGATCCATCCTCGCCGTGCCGCGGAAGCCCATCCTCGCGGACGCGCCCTCCCTGCCGACCGCAACGCTGCGCCGGCCGCACCGCCGCCGTGAAGAGCGCTGCCGCGGAGCCTCACGTGGAGAGCGCAGCCGCCGCCTCGGAGCCGCCGTGGAGAGCGCCGTCGCCGCCCCCATGGAGCCCCGCGTGGCCGCCTTGCTCGCGCACCGCCACGGAGAGGGCTGCCGTGGACCTCGCTTGGCCGCTGGCAGGGTGCTCGCGAGGACGCCGCCGACTCGCCGTGGACCACGCCGTCGGCAAGGAGCTTGCGCAGACTGGTGGGGTGCTCGCGAGGCCGCCGTGGACTCGCACGGCCGACGCCGAGAGCTCGCGTGGCCGCCACTGCACCACGGACCTCGCACGGCCTCCGTCGGGGAGCTCACTCCGCCGTAGAGCTTCGCTTGCAGCCGCCGATGGGAGCCTGCGTGACCGAGCCACAGGGGCATCCGCCCGCACGGGATCTGGATGAATGTAGGCGAGAGGATGCGAATGATTGGTTTGATTTTTTCAGAGTACTCTAAATATTACTGCGCTGGGAGGATAGTTTCCATGAGTATGTCTCGTGGTAGAAACTATGAAGTAGTTTTTGCGATGAGAGGGGTCTAATTTGGAAAAAAATTGTATGGGCGATGGGGCACCCTGCTGCTGGTGCGACCCCCAGCGCGATGCCTGCCACGTGAAGCCCGTTCCATCCAAAGGCAGCGTTAAACTTCTCGCCCCATCGGATCCACTTCGCAGATGGCTTGGCTCCGCGCGGCGGACGGCTCGGCTCCATCGGCTACACATCGCAGATGGTTCGGCTCCGTATAGCAGATAGCTCGGCCTTCACATCACGGCCCAAATCTCCTCTGACTCCGCCGTAGCCAGAGCACGGCGCGGCCTGTACTCGCGGTGTGTCCGGGGAGGTCACGAAGGACCACCGCGCAGCTGCCGTAGGATGAAAGGGCCGTACACGTGGCGTCCATCCGGCTGGGGGTAGCACGCGCCGCGCGCTGGACCCATCGTCCATGCAACCATCTGCGATGTGTAGCCGATGGAGCCGAGCCGTCCGCCGCGCGGAGCCGAGCCATCTGCGAAGTGGATCTGATGGGGCGAGAAGTTTACCGCTGCCTTTGGATGGAACAGGCTTCCACGCGGCAGGCATCGAGCTGGGGTCGCACCAGCAGCAGGGTGCTCCCATCGCCCATACAATTTTTTTCCAAATTAGACCCCTCTCATCGCAAAAACTACTTCATAGTGTCTACCACAAGACATACTCATGGAAACTATCCTCCCCAGTGCAGTAATATTTAGAGTACTCCCAAAAAAATTGCATGGATGATGGGTCCAGCGCGCGGCGCGTGCTACCCCCAGCCGGATGGACGCCACGTGTACGGCCCTTTCATCCTACGGCAGCCGGAAACGACGCTCCGATGGAAGGCAAACAGGCACACAGCTCGGCTCCTCGATCCTCATCGGCTTAGCTGGAATACAAGATGCCCCAATAGATCGTGCCTTGAGCCCTAGACTAGTGCGGCTGTTGCACGCCGTCGGCGCCGGCGCCGATTCCATGGATGAACCTACAGTTGACCTAATGCCATCTTCTTCTGTCATGGAGGATTCACGTGCACTAGGAATTGATGCTGTTGACGGTGGTCGTCTCGAAGGAGAACAACAGATAACACAGGTCAGTTATCTGATTAGATCGTTGTGTCTTTTCTTCTATGTTGTTTGCTTTCTGACATATAGTGTGCATATTTCACAGAACACCACGTCGGTTACCATGGGAGTAGAGACTATCGGCACCATTTCACAGAATGAAGTACTAGTGGAGAATGAAGTACCTCACGAGGTAAAAAAGTATTTAACAAACTTACAGAATATATGATATTTTGTTTATTTTTAGTACACCTTTAATTGGAAATTTATATGTACGAGGAGGTTAAGTAAAAGTCAGGGCACAATTTGATCACTCCTAAAGTTGGAATGACATTTCAATCTGAGGAAGAAGCTTATGAGATGTACAACACCTATCTTAAGCAAGGTTGGGTTCAGATTAGAAAGAGCAAGACAAAGTGGGCTGCGAGTATCTGTGACTCTTTTACAGCAGACATGAACTCGACCCAAAGGAGTGAAGGTATGAATAATGTCTTCAAAAAGATTTCAGTAGGAGACTTGGTCTTTTCCGAGCTCCTTGTAGAATGTGAGAAGGTTGCAGCTTAGTCTCCGTGTGCAAATGAGTTGGATGCTGATTTTAAGTCACGTCGAAAGAACCCGGTTGCATACATTCCAAATCTACCAATGTTGAATACTGCAGCTGAATCATATACAAGGAGAATGTATTCAGAGTTTGAGGAAGAATTTAAGAGACAATTTACGTTGTCTTGTGAATTGTTGGAAGCTGCGGGGACAAACAAGACATTCTTTGTTAAGTACATGCAGTCTGACCGTGGAGCAACAGTAGTATTGAACACTGAAAAGAACCAAAGAATACACGTTTTAAAAATGTTGTTGAAAAGAAGGTAGGGAAGAAGAAGAAGAAAGGTGGTCAGAAAAAAGTACTAACCTTTTGCTTATGTCTACAATTTTTTAAAATACTGTATTATGATATATAAATATATTTCATTGTAGGTGAAGATCTGGAAAATAATGATGTAGAAACAAGAGATGAACATGCTGATCCAAACCAAATAACTGTAAGACATTAGCTATTTTCACAATTTATTCCCTTACAAGCATGTTTTGTGAACACTTTCTTATGCTATATATGACAGAATTTTAATGCTGGGCCATCTTCATCCATGGATGCTCCTTTCCTGCAAGGTGGATATGCTAATTCCACAATGACACACTTCAATCTAATTCCAAAACCTTCTGTAATGGCTGCTCCATATATTCCAGGAGGATACACAAGTCTCTTAATGGGAGTTGATCAAGATGCTACAATGCAAACTGCTGTTAGGAAGTTACATTTTGATGGAGTGTAAAATCATGAATCTATGTAACTGTGCTCATTTGCTGTCAAGTCACCTTATGAAATGAAATATGTATATTCTGTTGGCTTTGCTTAGAATTTTGCATTTCAAATTATTAAGACACATTCCACTGCTGATTTCAAAACATCCAAATATTTTTTTAAGAATTTGAGGGCACCGGCCCTGTCTTAGCATTAGCAAAGACACAAATCATCCGGATTACAACATTCAGGTGGATCACACCCAACAATACAGTTCTCTGATGAAACCTCACTGAAAATAGAAACTAAGCAGACAATCCCAAGCTAGTTACACCTACTACCACTAAGCATAAGCATAGCTCCCCAGTTCAGATCACCATGTATATACACCACCAGAATCTTCAAGGCTTGAAGCATCTCAGTTCTCTTTTCCCAGGTCGAGACTGACCCAGGCCATTCCACTTCCTGAAGTTCCAGTCTTAGTGCTTAGCTTCTTCTTCACTTCCTCAGGCAGTGAAAGGACATCCCAGTTATGAGATTGCTTAAACATGAAGGTGTCCCAGCCATCCTTCACATTTACATTATTCTTGCGAACCACTATTTTCACAGGTATAAATGAACTCAACACTGATACAATTGTTGACAACCTCTCTGTCATTCTGAAACATCTACATTCAGGCACACTTTCAATTCTTCAAGGAATCCCAGTTCCTGAATCATTTGTCAGATGGGTCACGCTGCTGCAATGTACCATACATCCTGTTTCCTGCAAATACATATCGCTCCAATTTTCCAAAGTATCCAAACTGCATGCCATTTTAGCAGCCATCAGGATGGATACAGATAAAATCTGTACATGAATCAGCAAGAGTGCTGGATGAAACATACCTGATCCAAATCGATGGGGTCTGCGCGGCAGACGGCGAGGGCGCCCAGGTTGAGGCCCAGGTCACCGAGAGGACGGCACAAACCTCTGGAGCTCCTCCCAACCCACCGCCGTCACCTCTGGATCTCCTCCCAATCCGCCGCCGCCACTCCGTCTCCCTCTCCTCTCCCTGCCCGTCTGTGCAGGCGACCACTGCTGCAGGCGCCGCAGCAGATGCGCCTCGCTCAGCCGCGCGGTGGTCCTTCGTGACCTCCCGGACACACCGCGAGTACAGGCCGCGCCGTGCTCTGGCTACGGCGGAGTCAGAGGAGATTGAGATATTGGGTGAGAGGCCCATTATGGAAAGTGAGAACTGACGGAATCTGCGCCATCCCGGCAGAACTTCCGTCGGGGATGCTGGGGTATGAAGTGTGACACAACCATGAGGATGCCATCCGTAGGAATTTAGAGCCTTTTATTCCCCTTCTACCCCTCCCTTCTCTCTTTTCCTTTCACGGTCGCGATTGAGATGAACGAGCAGAACCCCGAAGCGGATCGAGCTCTCTGGGCTCTTCTCCTCCGTCGCCGAGGTATCCCACAATAGCCCGCTCGATCCGCCTTCCACGCCTCGGCCAACCCCCGCACCAGGCAGCGCTCCCCCCTTGCCCGCCCTCATGCAGCTCCCCATCACTTTGGGCCAAGCTTACCTGCAGCATGCCTGCATCATGGTCGGCTCCGGCTCTCCTTTGGCGCGGCCAGCCTCCCACGCCGACCATGGACCACACCACAGCAGCAGCCCACAAGGGGCGAACAAGTACACAATACCGCTGAAGCCGAAGGATTTAAAACAATGAAATCCCTCTTATTCATTGCCCGTGCATGTATGTGTGGTTTACGAAGGTCTATACATCAAGACAGAGAAAGAACTACGATCGTCAGGTTCTATGTTTGTCCAACTTTCGAGCGGTGAGAATGGTTAGTACCAAATTCTTTATGTAGTCCTTGCTTTGTGTGATTTGATGGTGAATCAATTTGATTGATTTCCATTCATGTGGCGACAGAGAGGGAGGTCTTGGATGTCCATTTTGGGAGTGGGAAGAGGATATGAGCAATACTTGGTTGACCAAAATTGGTGCCTCCAGTTATCAACTTTGTTTTGAGGTCTACTAAGTTGCGCCAATTGTCGAAGACAAGCCAAATTCGGAGAATCAAACTATGATGAACAAGTAAAAGCGACTTAGGAGATAGCAATGTTCTTTGAGTATTTGATTCTTGTCTGTGGACTAGTGTTAGTTAGCAATTTGTATGCAATTGTGAGGAGGGATGAATCTTGTGTACTTGGTACAAAATGTATCATTATGCCAATGAATCAATGAAATGTTATGTTCTCAAGTGACAAATTATTTTCTCTTGTTCTTTGCCAATGTTATGTACAATGCCCATTTGATCTCTGTATAGAGGTTGGCCGGTATCGTGGAGTTGTATTGGACTCAAGTCTAGGTCTCTAGTTGTTTTGGGTTGTATTAGGCAAGGATCTTGTGTATTTTAGCAACCGATGATCTATTGAAAAGCAGGTTAAAGGTGGTGGAAATATAGTTCATGTCTTATGTACAGTGACATGGAAATATAGTTCTGTCTTACTTAGAGTCCACCAAGGAGAAATAATTCTGATGAATGCGAACGTTTGAGGATGGAAACCAAAATCTATAAATGAGTATCATACCTCTAAGAAGTGCCATTCTTCTTCTTTCAAATCAAACTTTTCAAGTATGGAGATCAATGAACTGCATGACTGAATTTATACAAAGAAAATACAAAATACTCATAAGAAATAATATAGTTTATAGAGCGACAAAGTAATCATTAATAAACTTACGATGATGCATTTTAGTTTCTTGATCGAAGTCAACTATCCAACATCCAACATACACGAAGGAAGATGAAATGTATTCTTAGGAAGTCCTCAATCAGATAGGCAATCGAAACATGATAAAAAGCCTAGCACTTTTTCTGCGATTCGAAGATCCACAATGACAAACTTGAGCTGCTCCAAACTGGACAAGCTTAAGCCTGAACAATGGCAGCAATTGCGATTGTAAGACTAAATTAAGCTGAACAATGGTGAACAATGACGACAATTGTCCACCTCGTCGACTTAAGCTTTGAACAATGGTACGCACAATATAACTATTCCAAACAATTGACTCAAATGCATAAGATGGAAAAATGTAAGACTGAACAATGGCACAATTCGGTGATAACCCGACAAATAAATCGGCTGACCATTGCGGAAAGTTATCAATCGCGACCATGCAGCCATACAATTTGTTTGATGAACCAGCTATCCAATGGCAGACTTGGTACCAAAATGTATCAGCTGTGCCAATGGCACAGGGTTCATAAGAAAGCATTCAATATATAATTAAGTTTCACAAACACACAAGTCTGGTAGCACACATGTTTTAAAATGGAAAAGGTTCACAAACCACACTAACTCATACAATTAAGTTCATACAGGACACAGGTTCATCAAACATATGTTTTGAAAATGACACAGGTTCTCAGATATTTTTCATTCTCCTTGGGACCAACTTCTTGGCTGTCGTTTTCTTCTTTCTTGGTGTTCCTTGAGTGGTGCTGGGCGACCCATCCGGTATCATGTAAATTTTTGGACTTACATTGCCTTCTCTATGTTCATGCCTTCTCCCATCAAGAATGCCAATCGGCTGAAAAAAGGAATAAATCAATTTAATGGCTTGAACATTATAATTCTCAAGAAGAATAGATGGCTGTCATCACTATATTTACCCTCTTGTTAGCCCTAATTGGGCTCTCTTGCAAGATTGTTTTCTTGGTTGGTCTGATGGGGCTAGTAAATACTATTGAAGTTTCCTGAACAAATGGCACTATAGCTGTTTCTTGAACAAATGGCACTATAGCTGTATCATTTTCAGCTTGCACAGATGCATTTTCATCTTGCAGAGTTGCATGGTCAGATTGTGCAGTAGGATTTTCAGGCTCTTTATCTTGCCTCTTTGTCCTTTTTTGTTGGGATTTTAGCATTTGGCCCATATTTAGTAGTATTTTTCTGCAGGCTTCCTTTTCCTCATGAGGGAAAATAATAAACAAATATTTAAAATAGCATGGTGCAATCAGTCAATAAATAAAATGAAGAATAAAGATGCTACCTTTTCTTTTGTCCCATTAAATTTGCACTTGTAGCTAGTTTCTCCATGACCCAACTCACCGCACCCTTGCACTTCCTTTTCCCCATAATCGATTGCCCTCTTTCCCATAGCGGCTTCCTGGGCTTCCAATTACGCATCTTTATCGGCCCGATTACAAACATCCTTTTACATCTTTTTGCTCATTCCACCTTTCCCCCTTCCAGACATCCTTTGATTCGCAATTTTCTGGGCTTTCCAGCAGGTCTTTTAGCTAATGGTGCTTTAACAGCAAAGTCAAGCTCAACATCAGGCCACTGGGTCTTATCTGGAAGAGGCTCTATCAGTCTCTTATAAGCATTCTTGAACCTCTCGGTAATAATCATGAACGAAGTCTTCCATCCTGACATCAATACTTTGTTGTGTTGTTATGAGGCACAAGGCATGCTCACAAGGTTTTTCGAACAGTCTTGCCCTTTGAAGACATGTACATTCATGCAAATGTGACTTCACAACATGCCTACCTATGTGTGCTGGTTGTGTCATGTATCTCCTGAAAGAAAAGGACCCGCCTTCTGCACAACTGAGGTGTCCTAAACCCCTAGTCCTTGCTCTCAATTGTCGGGGTACTGCTGGTAGGATCCTACCACAGTTTCTCTCAAATTGCACGTCTCTTGTGAACAATGTCATTATCATCTCTCTAATCTTGTCGCAAGAAACTTCGAAAAGCAGTTGATAATCTGGAGGCACCAATTTTTGGTCAACCAAGTATTGCTCATATCCTCTTCCCTTACTCCCAAAATGGACATCCAAAGACCTCCCTCTACGTCGCCACATGAATGGAAATCAATCAAATTAATTC